TAAGACTGACTTCAGTAGCTGTCAGTTAGAAGCAGTGTGTTCACTCAGAGGGACTGCCTCTGTGAGCAGTCCCCATGCTCAGAGTCTGCCCTGTGAAGAGAGACCAGAACAAACAGCAGATTAAAGGTCAGTACATGCGGGCTGTGAGCCGCCCGTAATGTGGTTAGAGAGGGCTGCTGCCCGAGGACCTGGCGTTGCTGCTCTGAGGTGTTTGCTTCCAGCTGCCTGTGAAAACTGTGTTCAGTAACAAATATGCCGTGTGTGACACGTTGTGGACAGAACAGGCAAAGTCGCCTGTCTTTAGGGAGTTTATATTCCATGTGTGTGTGGGAGAGGGGGAGGGGGGGGACAAATGGGCAGACAGAAACAAGTCCCGGATGTAAAAAACAAAAAGAAGGACTTGAAAGGGAGTAGAATGTTCTAGAATGGCTGGTTAAAAACTCCAGTGAGTGAGAAGGGCTCCCTGGGAAAGTGAACCAGAAATTTAAATTTATTTGATGTTTTGATTTTTTTTTAAAGACAGAATCTCATTATGTATTCCTGGCCAGCCTAGAATTCTCTGCATAGACAAGAATAGCCTCAAATTTGCTACAGTCTCCTTCCCTCTGTCACTCAAATGCTGAGTGGCTTACCTTATTAGGGCTTATTTGTTGAATAAGGAAAGTTCAGGACAAAGGAAAGGTTGGGAGACGGCTGTAAGGTGTCATCAGGGACTGAGGCTCCTGCCTCCTTTGTCATCCTTAGCAGATGGTGTTTGTTTGCTCTCTCTCCAGCGAACCATGCCAGCAGTTCTGCAAGGAAAATGCTCACTCCTTCTTTCTCGGCCCCTGCGTGCTGGGCTGGTAGCCGGGATTTGTCTCTAATTCATGAGGCCCGCTCCCTGTAATCTCACCAGTTCTGTCTCTAGAACTGTGCTGGAGATCACTTCCTGCTCCGGAGACTCTGGGGGAAAACTGGTTCCTGTAGCTGAGCAAGGGCACTCTCGGTGGGATTGGTTATGGGTAAACAGCTCTTGTCTGCATTGGCTTCCAAGTGTCTGGGTAAATACGAGTGTGAGCAGCATGCGCCGCCCACCTGTGGATGAGCTGACACAGAGGGAGTCACCGGCTGTGCCCCTACAGTTTACCCCCTTCCCATTTGCCCAGCAATGAACTACTGCATATAAGGTTGTTTCGCCTCTGAAACTTGGAGAGAACAAAATGCTTCACGCGGAGGAAGTGATCTCCAGTACTGTTTATATTTGGATTCTGGTGTGCTGTCCAGCACATCCTGCTGTCTCCTGGGGCCCACCCATCGGGCTGGGTGTTCACTGTGTCCCTGCCTCCCACGCAAGCCTGGGCGCCACAGTTCCAGACCACACTCCTGCAGCTTACAGACAGCCCGTGTGCAGTTCCTCATCTTCCTTCCGGCAGCCGGTGCCATCCTCTGGTCCTGTGCTTAGGTTTTTTCTGCCCTGTATTTGGCTGACTCGCTGGAGTGTTGGCTAAGCGTCTGTGGTCTCCCTCAACCGATTCTTTTTTCATGTTAGTGAAGGTGACCTGGAAGTCCATGACAAAATGCTCTGTGCTGCCTTCCTCTTAGTTAGGGAAACTTTCCTGCCCCTTCAGGCAGTTCTCTGTCTGTCCCTCTTACTGTCTCTTGAAACATATTTCTCTCCTTAACTTTTTGAATAGTCACACGTTTGTAATGTTCAAAAGATTTTAGAGTAAAGCCCTGGCTCCCACTGTCCCCTCACTTGGTCCTCAGTGTCCCTGCACTTCTTCTTAGTTTCTTACATGGCCTTCAAGAGTTTTTCTTTTCAGTATAACAAATATGTTCCCAGTTTTCTTCATTGCTTTTTTTTTTTCTTTTTAATGAGCCTGGTCTACCTTTCTGAAACCTCTCATCAGTCTTGTGGATCTTTCCAGAACGGTGCTGACGATTCATAGCAGGCGGCTTCCGCTTCTGCTCCATCTTAGGTCTTAAGCTGCACAGTACAACAGCTATCTCTTGGAAATGCAGACTTGGCTGGGCCTCTTTAAAATACAGATGTCTCTGTGCCAGCTTGTTTTGCCAGCTTGACACTCTTTAGAGTCCCTGAGAAGACGGAGCCTCGGGTGCAAAATGCCTGCTGCGTAAGATCAGACTGCAGGCAAGCCTGTAGGGCATTTTCATAATTAGCAATTGATGTGGGAGGGCCCAGTCCAGTGTGGGTGGGACCACCTCTGTATTCTGTGGGAAGCCAGGGCGAACAAACCAGTGAACAGCACCCCTCCATGGCCTCTGCTTCAGCTCCTGCCTCCAGGTTCCTGCCCTCATGGCTTTTGATGATGCGCTGTTGTTATGTGGAACTGTGAATGACATGAGCCCTTTCCGCCCTGCGTTGGTGTTGGTCATGGTGTGTCATCACTGCTATAGTGACCCTAGCTAAGACACTCTCTTCCCCTCCACTCTGTACAGGACTCTCGGTCGTCGCTGTCTTCTGGGGATTGCCCTGCACCTCCGAGCATTGTCGGTGTTAGTGACGTCTCTGAGCTTTAGTGTTCTGAGTCATTTCCACACAGCTTTGAGGTCTCGGCTGTAAAGAGGAGGGCTTTGAAACCTAGACACTCTGAGACCCTACCTGTGGTTCTGTGAACTGCCGTGGCCTTGTTGGAAGCAGAGGATCGCGGGTCCCTTATGAGCCTGAAAAAAACGTCTGTGTAGTTTCTCCCACAGCGCCTGCTGTGACAGCACGCGCCAGTGGGGTGTGCTGAAGAGGCTGAGGCAGGAGGACCGGAGTTTCACTCATAGCGCCTTTACCTGCACTAGTATGGGAGAGCCACGGGAAGCGCATATAAAGGTGCCGTTGTAGTCTAACTGTTTCTGTCCCCCTCAAGTGTGTGCGTTTGAATCCGACGCCTAATGTGACGGAAGTAAGAGAAAGCTGCTGGGCGGTGAGGAACGAGATTAGTGCCCTTCAGGACGAGGCCCCGGGGAGCTGCCTTGTCTCTTCTACCAAGTGGCAGTAGAGAAAAGGGTTCCGTCTGCGACCCAGGACATGGACACTGGCCAGATGTCTGTTCCGTAACACTTTAATCCTGGGCTGCCTGGCTTTCCGACTGATGAGAACCAAACTTGGCCCTTTCATATGTCACCCAGTCAGTGGCGTTTGTTAGAACAACCATAACAAACAGACTGAGACAAGAGTTCATTGTTCATCTCGTGGTGCTGCTCCAGTAGCAAAAGTTGCACACATAGGACATAACCAACCAGATAACGTGCGACGGTTCACTGCACGTACAGAATAAAGATGCTGCAGCTCCTCACACAGCAGTGTGCAGCTGAGGTGCTTCGGGCAGCTCTGTGGGCGTTGAGTGCTGCAATGACCTTCCCAGAGAGCGCTGTGTTCAGACCCCAGGCCACGGTGAAATCGTTGACCTCATGGGTCCGTCCTGCCAGGGACATCTCAGGTTTATTATGTGTTAGGTTTTGAATTAATATTTGGCCTCTTGTGAATTAAAGAACTGTCTGTTGTTTTCTGCCACCCCTGCTCCCTACCGCGGACAATCAGTTATGGGACCCCATAGGAGGGCAGGTCAGTTTTAAGACGATGGACTGTATTCACCTGCTCTTGATTTTGGTATGTGTTGCCTGGGCTAGAAGGAATGAAGGACACTGTTTTATATCTCAAAACATAGCCTTTTTATAGTCAAGAAGCTGGATCATGAGTGTGCCTGCCCTGAAGTGTGTGTGGTCCCTCAGGGCAGAGAGCGGGTCCCACGAGAAGGATATGAGGCAGGAGGATGGCTCCGGGTGTTGTAGTAGAACACACAGCAGCTCTCAGACCCTGACTGCACAGTGGGGAACTGCTCTTAACTGGAAGACAGAGCAACACAATCATCTTGTTTTCAAGCAAAATGAGTCGTCTCCCCTCAAGTTGGAGTAGCAAACCAGTGCAAGCACATTTCCGGGATGATATATCCGATGTGAGGGAAGACAGTCTCCCTTCTCAGAAACACAAGATGGCTTCTGTGAAGAAACTGGGAAGCCATTGTCTTTTGGATTTATAACACCACACAGTAGTTCCCGAATCCGTGCACCCCAGCCTAGTGAGGTGCCGTTTGCCTCCTGTTCACACTTGTGGACCAGTAGCGAGCTGTTTGCATACAGCCTGTTACAGATTTCCAACCTCGGGGTCACGTGTTTTCCAAGGGGTGTTTGGGGGATGGAGGGGGTGGAAATCTTTGTGAGGGTTCATTCTTCACGCTTTGGGCTGCTCATTCCTTACATTTTTCTAGAGATGCACCTTCTCCAGTCACTTAGAAAAGGCAACCACATTTTATGTTTAACATGCTGTGTTGAAGACAGTGAATACTGGCCTAGTGGATCCGTACCATTTTGTTGAGAGGGTCCCTAACCTTTGAAGACGGGCTGGTGCTCCTGAGGCTGCTGAGGAGCACACCTGACCCCTAGTGACTAGAGAGGGAACCGTGAGGAATCAAAAGGGTTAAGACTGAGAGATGCTTATGGTTTAGTCTCACCTAGAAGTGAGTGAGGAGCAGCGTTTCCTCTTGCAAACCAAACCGATGGGAGATTATTTCCCATTCGAGATTATAGCTGTGAAAGATCTGAGAGAAATGAAAATGCTGCTCTCGGTGGTCACCAAAGTGTCCATCTCAGATGGGATATACATGGCTTACTTAATGGTCCTGAGCAGAGGGAACTTGGCTGGTTGTAAATGTCCACTTCTAGCAGGGTGGGGGATGAGGAGTGGCCATGGCCTGCTGAGAGCTTAAGTGGGTGTCTCATCACACCTGCCACCTCATTCTCTATCCTTCAGTCAGAACTATGAGTGTCAGCCGTCTGGGATATCTGGGTGGAGGAACCCCTGCTGGCTCAGTCCTGGTCTAGAGACCGCAGCCATAGCAAGGGCAGCTGTGCACATGCCCTCTGACTATGGGAAGTCTAGGATAGTTTAGTCTGCAAATGCATGCTTACTGCATCAGGTAAGCATTTCTCTTTGTTTATCTCCTCTCTAGATCAAGAAGAAGCAGCAGGATGTGGTTAGATTTCTGGAAGCCAACAAGATAGAGTTCGAGGAGGTGGACATCACCATGTCGGAAGAACAGAGGCAGTGGATGTACAAAAACATTCCCCCTGAGAAGAAGCCTGCGCAGGGCAACCCTCTGCCACCTCAGATATTTAACGGCGACCGATACTGTGGAGTAAGTGGCTGGATTGTTCCCACACTGTGTCCCTTGGTTACCATAGCATGACACCTGGAGTGTGTTCGGATCCTTTACAGTAAAGGCAGTAACTTCGGGTAGCACCCGCTCAGGGTCCTGGGCCTAGCAGAGGGGAAGCTCAGCACAGTTTGGAATTCTGCAGCACAGACTGGGGTGGGGGGAGGGATGCTGGAGAGTTGTGTGGCCAGTAACAGAGTTCAAGGGTGGCTGGCAGTCATCCACCCTGTCCCTTTCTTTGCTCTGGGAGGAAAGTAGAGAGTGTGTGTTTACTGTGATCTGGCTTTTCAAGCCTGTCTCTTCATTAAAACATTTTTTGGCCCAGATTGAAGAGGTAATTATTCTTGAATCATTATTCCCCATGGGTAGCTGATTAGAAAACAGAGTTCATATTCAAAAAAGATTATCAACAGAGGGATTACTGTGAATATTTAAGGTCTGTTTTGGTGCCTTCCTGCTGGGTAGTATATGAGAAAGCAAAGTCAGTTTTGTCTAGTTACCCACTTAGCTTATTTCTTAGGCTAAGACAAAAATCGGAGAAACCTCTTCCTGCTGGGTAAACTGGGGTTTGCTTTTTACCATGGTTTTCAACTCCGCCCACAGGTGTTTATTTTGGGAGTGCATTTTTTTAAGGAGCTACAGTGCCAGGGTGTTGCAGGTGCCCTTAAGCGGCTGAGTTGTCCTTAGGGTGGAGAAAGGAGTAACAGTATGTTTGGTGGCTGTAGAGTCACCCAAGAGAGTAGGAAATCAGAACATAAGGCTGCAAGCCACCCGTGCACAGCCATCTCAGTAGTGTGGTGAGCTGAGTATGCACCCATGACGCTTGTCTGCCCGTTGCTGTCCATGACACCTGTGGACGGTTTCTTATTGCCTTAAGCCTCAGTGTCCTGGTCCTTAAACTCATTATATACAGACTCCTGATCGCATCCACCCAGGTGCCGGGATTGCAGGTGCGTTCCCGTTCCCAGCTTTCCAGGCTCAGCCCCAGGAGTCGCCCCCTCATCTGCAGGCTCACTACCACAGAGCTACACACCGGCTCTACTTGTCCGCTCTTTGAGCAGGGTCGTGACTGCTTCCAAAGCTCCTCTTAAATAAGTTATCACATGAAGATAAAGTCTGGGAGATTCTACTATAGCATCAGGAGTTTGTACTTTAGTGGAGAAACGTGTAGAAACAAAGGGTGTGTACAGCGTGATGGCTGGCGCGTAGGCTCCATTTGGCTTCCTGACTAAGCTGAGGGACTATTGAAAGCCTTGTCAACTGCAGCCCAGGATAAAGCTGCAAGGATTGGGTTAGCCCAAAAGGGATTTCAGGTTAGGATGTGAATTTTCAGTCAGTGTGAGTAGACTCAAATACATCTTTATTAATCATAATAAAAGCCATTTAATTGACTCATTTTTGCCAATAAGAAATGGTTGCCTCCTCCTGTAGTGTAAAAATCTGTGCCTTGGGATTCATCGAGTTTTCAGAAAACTTTCCTTATCCTGCTACCCCCGAAGTGTTTCTCTGTGATAAGTTGTCAGGATCCGTGACATGATGCTTGGCTGGGGGGAGTCAAGTTAATGTGACGGATGAGGCAAATCTTCACAGCCCCTTCAGTTCTGCAGCACTGCCGTGGGACAGGTGGCAGGGCATCGCTGTGGGGGCAGTGTGGGGAGGGCTGCAGCTCGGTGAACATCTCATCTGTTAGCAGAGCTATCTTTCAGGTGTGAAGGTCCCACTCTATTCCACGGTAGTGCATCAGATGGGCAGAGACCACGGAACAGTGGCCGTGGCCCTTCTCTTCTGCTGTCAGCATGGCCACGGGAACATGCTTTAGAGCTTTTCAGTGCAGATGCTAAGCTGGCCGTCGCAGTTGTCATGAGCAGTTCACTTTTCATCGCACGTCACAGTCCGGCTGAGAAATGCTTCGTTCTTATTCCACAGACTAAGAAGGCAATAGATTGAAATGGTTCGTTTTTCTTTTCTTTGTTTTGGTCCCTTGGCAAGGCCCCCACTTGGCAAGCTTTTCACCTTTCCTGTTTGCTTCAGTCCATACTGACCTCTGGGTGACGCTAAGAGGATTGGCTTTAGCAGTCGCTCTCAACTGGTCATTGTCAACCCCCGTGATCATCACTGTGCTCCTCATCTTGGAGCTCTGGCCCCCTTTGCACAGCTGATTAAAACATCACCCAATTGCCTGTTCGTTAGCAGTTCCTGGACAAATGTGTTTGTTGTGTTGGGGTTGTCTCTACTCCTTAACTATCCATTTTGAACTCAAGAAATTGCCTGAGTTTGCTTTTCGTCTATATAATACATGTAAAATAGATGTCTGGTAATAAATCATTAGCAAAACGGAGGAAGAGATACACGGGCATTAAAGTTACATATAACATAACCATCTTTATTTAAGAATGCATTCCAATATCAAATGACAAATTGCAGCAATGCAAAAACTGCAGGGATTTTTGCACCAGCCCAGTAAAATAGTATGTCAGAATGCCCAGCACAATAGCCAGTGGCTGTCTTTCCCTGGGACGTTGCTGCTATAAAAAGGCCTTTGTGTGTGTGTGTGTGTGTGTGTGTGTGTGTATGTGTATGTGTGTAGTCATTTCTAGGCATAGAATTCTAGGACTGTTGCATCATTATCATCTGATTTCTGGGGACGTAACTCAGGTGTCAAATGCTGTTACTGGGGTTCCGTGGGTGTTTGTCAGTTTCTGCTGTTGCCGAATTTGAAAATTTGTTGCACACATGTACATTCTAAGTTGCTTGGTGAATCACCAGTGAGTGAAGTATTTTCTGGAGTTCATTGCTGAGTGCTCAAGAAATTGTTAAGCGTGCCTTATATACTCTTCTAGTATTTCCTTTGAAAAGTTTCTCCTTGCTCTGGTTTTCCCGAGTGCCCATTCACTTGGGCACTAGGCTTTTAAGATTGGTTTTGTAATATTTTTTATCTTTTCCTTCTATTGTCTTTGACTTTTTGTTTTCTGGGGGAGATTTCTTTAATTTATATCTTAATCTTCTTAGGGTATATTTTTTCACATACACCTCTTTTCTTATTGTTTCCCCCCTTTAAATGTTATATTTTATGATATGAATGCAAGGCCATAGCTCAGTGAGTGTACTCAGTGTAATTCATTGGCATTGGTTGTCTTCTGTGTAGCAGCTCTTGTCCTTGTCTACACTGCTCTCTTCTCCCCCTCCCCCTTGCCGCTCCCTACTCCCTCCTTCCTATTTTTCTTTTCACTTCCCTTTTTCCTCCTTTCCAAACTCCCTCTTTTCCTTCTTTCTCTTTCTCCTCCTTTTCCTCTTCCTCTCTCTCTGTCTTGGTACTTGGATTGGGCTGAGGGCCTTGCATTTCGGGGGTCTGTGATTGACAGTTGTAAAGCTTTTGCTTCCGGAAGACATGACTGTTCATTATACTGTCTGACTTCTTAGAGGAGGAGGCACCTTGGGAACCGAGCTGCTGTTTATGTAGTCTTTTATCTCCACTGTCCAGGCCCCTCGCCGTAGCCAGTGTATCCACTGAGTGTGGCCTGAATGTTTTGGCTTCTGCTGGTGCTGCCGTTGCACTGTGACCATCACTGCTCTCTGCCCTCACATCCATCACCATCTCCCCATTTGTTGCCTGCCTGTGTGTAGGCTTTTGCTATTGATGCTTCGAGTCGTGTCAGAAATGAGCCTCTGTTTCTGGTTTTCAGCTCCTTGTTTTGTTGACCTTTGGAGGGAAAAGAGGCAGACGACAGCTAATACGGTCGTGGCACAGCAGTCTGCATAGGGCTTAGAACGGGGGTTTGTACCGGGTGGATAAAGACTCTGATGCTGTAAAATAAGGCCAACTTTGTCCTTCTTCTTACCTCTTTCCGACATCTAAGCCTTTGCTCCACAGAGTGTATGGGACTTCTTTAGGTAGACCCTGTGCGAGCCGGCTTTCATATTGATTGAACTGTGCCAGATCAATGGCTGCTCCTCTGCCTCAGCAGCCAAGGTCCCAGGAAGAAGTGGCAGCAGCTGCTGCCTGGTGTCCTGTCATGTGATTGCTAGGGGTCAGGACCAGTAAAGACAAGGGCTTCTCTTATCAAGGTTAAATAATATGACCTTCACAGAGGATGCAGCTGGTAGTGGGCTTCATCTCTCTACCTTCTTTTGTGCGCCTTAAATCCCAGTGGTGGTTTATGAGGGTCTCATCTTGTTGGCTAACTTGGGAGCAATGTCGTATGGGAAGTGACAGGATCTCAACAGTCTGCAGAGTCTGCTATACCCAAGATCGCCTGGAAATGTCCTACTTAGTTTTAAGCTGGATAAAGCCTATGGATAAAGCCACTAAGCTCCTTGGTAACCAGTGTGGGCACGGGCCTCCTCTCTGCTAGGATGTGGATGGCCTGTCTCCTGGGAATTCCCAACTGCTTGAACAGCTCCCAAGACAGTCACTCACTCCCTCGAATTGGGGGAATGATGGAGAAACATGGGAACTGTTGAAGGCTCATTACAGTAGTGCCTGTCCAGGAGGGATTTGGACCTGGCTTAGCTGGGGCTTTTATAACTGACCTTGTGGTGTGGCCCAAGATGTTCTTGCCTTCTGAGGCAACAAGAATTCCTCCTAGTTTTAAACTGTTTCTCCAGCTATGATGTTTTTTTTTTTTTTTTTCTCAGCTTGTGTTACACCTTCATACATTCCTCCCAACAGCCAGCATCCTTGTCAAGTATTGGCAACCAAGACTCCAAACTGGTGCAGCTGTTAACTAGCCTGCTGCTTCACTGAGCTGCATCTCACTGCAAGGAGAAGTCTGGTAATGGGACCTGGCCCTCCTGAAGCTCTCGACCTCTTCTGATATGTTTTAATGTCTGATTTGAATTCTGGAAGGTGTAGACCTCACATTTGAGGTTTTAAGCCTTTTCCTCTTTTGAACTGACCTGTGTGGAATGCAGTAAAAATGAGCATGCCTCTCCACAGAAGAAAACCGTTCCCCTCCATTATCTCCTTCCTTTCCGTTAGCACA